ACACATAGTAACTTTGATCATGAATTTACGTACACTGAGAATGCACCGCAACGGACACGTAGGAATAGGCAACGCAACATAATTTGGTTCAACCCACCATTTAGTAAGAGTGTTAACACGAACATAGGACGGGAATTCTTAAGTTTAATTGACAAACACTTCCCGCTACAGCACAAACTACACAAGATTTTTAACAGAAACACTTTAAAAGTAAGCTACAGTTGCATGAACAACGTTAAGTCTATAATCACCAAACACAACGCACATATAATTAGGAACAGTCAATCACAGAATACGGAAACTGACAACTGTAACTGCGACAACAAAAACACTTGCCCACTACCGAAACAATGCATGACCAACAACATTATTTACAAAGCAACAGTCACAACGAACAACACGAACGACACTAAACACTACATTGGTATGACAGCGACTACATTTAAGGAACGTTACGCTAACCACACTTCATCTTTTCGTCATAAAAAAGACTCAAACAAAACGGAACTTTCGAAACATATTTGGAAATTAAAAGAAAACAATCAGGATTATACCATCAAATGGTCAATTTTAAAACACGCTATTTCGTACACAGGGGGATCAAAACGCTGCAATTTATGTTTGGAAGAAAAATTTTGCATTTTGAAAGACATAAACAAAGACAATTTACTCAATAAAAGAAGCGAAATTTTCGGCAAATGTCGTCACAAAAACCGGTTTCGAGTAAACAAGGTCGTTAACAAAACCTAATGACCCAAGCATGCATTGTTTCACCTAAGCATTGTTTCGCCTACACGCATTCCGCACATTCTTTCGATAGCATAAAAGCAACCTACAATTTCGAAATTATTCACCACCTGATGATTCCTATACGGATGAAACAGACTGTTGTGGTTTTTTGAGGTAAAACGAAAAACTATATATATATATATATATATATATATATATATATATATATATATATATATATATATATATATATATATATATATATATATATATATATATATATATATATATATATAGATTATGCTCTGGATATCCATTGAGGACACTGCTAAATGTTTTTGTAAACAACGAAACCTAATTATATATATATATATAGCTTAAGATTTTGGTAAACGAAACACAAACAGTGCTCAATACCATATAGATAGAGCGTAATATAGTTTTTCGTTTTACCTCCAAAAACCACAACAGTCTGTTTCATCCGTATATGAATCATCACTAGGTGGACGGATGAAACAGACTGTTGTGGTTATTTGAGGTAAAACGAAAAACTATATATATATATATATATATATATATATATATATATATATATATATATATATATATATATATATATATATATATATATATATATATATATATATATATATATATATATATATATATATACAGGGTGTATAAAAAAAAACTGAACAGATTTGAAATTGCTCTCAATTTCGCAAAACACCTATTTGTATCTGTTTTTTTATATATAGCTTCTTTGGGTACTTATAATGTAAAATAATGAAAAAAATTTCTCGAACTCAAATTTTGTGAACCAGGGGGGTGTATCTTTTCCAACAAACTAAAAAAAGCTGTAATCATATTTTGAGTTAATAGATTGAAAATTTGTCGGGTTTTTAATTACTGTACAAAATTTCAGACAATTTGGTTTAGTTTAAGCCCTTTAACTATTCATTTTGTTCTAAAAAGTCAGCCTTTCGCATGCTTAATTAATGCCTTTACCTAATTTGCATATTGCTGACATAACTTTGCGTGAATAGTTAAGGGGCTTAAACTAAACCAAATTGTCTGAAATTGTGTACAGTAATTAAAATCCCAACAAATTCTCCATCTGTTAACTCAAAATATGATTGCAGCTTTTAAATTTTGTGCGCGAGCCATTTTTAGTTTGTTGGAAAAGGCACACCCCCCTGGTTCACAAAATTTGAGTTCGAGAAATCTTTTTTATTATTTTACATTATAAGTACCCAAAGAAGCTATATATATAAAGAACCAGATACAAATAGCTGTTTTGCGAAATTGAGAGCAATTTTAAATCTGTTCAGTTTTTTTTGATACACCCTGTATATATATATATGTAGTTATATATATATATATATATGTATATATGTTTAATAGAGTTGAAGATTTGTAATCCAGGCATTTTATTAATTGAATAATTCTACAAATTATTTTGTCTCTGGATTCTAAAACATTTAAATTAGAATCCAGAGAACAAAATAATTTTTTAGAATTATTCAATTAATATATATATATATATATATATATATATATACCGGGTGGCGCAAAAAAAAGTTCACGCGTTTGATTTAGTACAGCGATAAAACTATAAGTGTTACATCGCTGAAATAAACGTAGCTGTATTCATAAACGTCTAACTTAAATTTTGAGCTATAGCATGTTTATTTACGTGCAATATTGACTGGGATATCGCCAAATAAAATTTGAAACGAAGTTTTGAAAATCTGACAAATTGGCTAAAAATGGCCTATTAAACTGTTTTGATAAATTTTAGAATTTCGTCAGACATATTCGCTTGTATGAATTTAATTTGAATTGAAATGTGTAACGAATGATTTTCCGTATTTATTTATTTGTTTTATTATCATTTGAAAAGCAACAAAATTTCGAAAAAGATGGCTCTTTTAATTAAGAATTGCTTCGCAGTATCCATGTCCCATAGCTATAGGGAATTAAATTAGATCAACAACCGAACAATTTGAGACAGCTTCGTGAAGCGATTATTGCTGATTGCCATAATTTTGACCAGCAAATAAATCCAACGTTCGTTCGATAGTATGGTCACACGTGTAAGAATATAGTTATTTAATTTTCCATGATAACGCATTATTTACTGCCGTTGTGTTCTTCATATATCGTTAATTCCTTTACTCGTATTTAATAGGCTATTTTCAGCTAATTTTGGAACCTTTTGAAATTGCATATTCAAATTGTTTTACCAATATCTTGGGTAATACGAGACAAAAATGCATGTGTTATACATCAAAATTTAAGTTAGGCCTTCCTGGATAGGATAACATTTATTTGAGGAACGTAACACTTATAGTGTTTTCGCTGTACTAATTCAAACGCGTGAACTTTTATATATATATATATATATATATATATATATATATATATATATATATATATATATATATATATATATATATATATATATATATATATATCGAAAGCCGCTGTAGGAATGTTCACAAAATTACTTTATCTTCGTTTTCTCTACATTTCGCAAAATCTATTTTATCTCAAAAGAGAATTGCTAAAAGACAATCTGTAAACTTTAGATAAATTGACTCTAGTGAACGGAACGAAAACGGCTAAATTATATTCAGTAACGAAAACTTGTTTTCGTAAATATAGGACACAGCGGCCACAAATAACGCATTTCCACTCGGGGGAATTTTCCGCGCGAAGCTGAATTTTTATTTGTCTTGTGATTTCTCGGGTGGAACTAATTAGAAAAGACGAAGAGAAATTCCGCTCCGCGCCGAAAATTCCGCTTAGCTATAGTGGATAGATAGATAGATAGATAGATAGATAGATAGATAGATAGATAGATAGATAGAAACTTTTATTTAAACACGCTAACCATTGTCAACCTAGGCTGATTTCCACAAGGGGCGTGTACAATAATAAAATTACAAAGATATAGTATATAGTAAGATATTACATACAGTAAGAAATATATATATATCTATATCTATCTATATATATATATATATATATATATATATATATATATATATATATATATATATATATATATATATATATATATATATATATATATATATATATATATATATATATATATATATATATATATACATAATTATATAAGTATAAGAATAATAATGCTATTCAAAAATGTGAGTATTCAAAAATGTGAGTAGCGATTTTAGTTTCAAAGGACATGATGGAGTTGCTCTCTCTAATTTCGGTTGGTAAAGAATTCCAAATGTGTGCCCCGTCAAACATGAAACTTTTTTTCAAGCTATTTGTACGCGGCTGCGGTAAGCAAAGAGTACTTTCCACATCTCGAAGTTTATAATTTGTCATTTCACTTTTGAAAGTAAATAAATCAGTAAGTGATTTAGGACCCATTTTATTCAACAATTTAAACATCAGTTTGGACTTAGCCTTTATTCTTTCCGTTTTAAGTGGCTTCCAGTCTAAAGCATCTAAAGCAACCAGATGATCTACATCATTGCTCATATTCATTATGATTCGAGCAGCTCTGTTTTGGAGCTGTTGGAGGCGTTTTGATTGTGTTTCACCAAACACATCCCATACTTCACAGCAATATGTAAAGTATGGGCGAACAATAGAATTATACACAGAGACAAGTGTATCTTTCTCAACAAATTCTTTTATTTGACGAAGAGCTGATATCCCGGATGTTATTTTCTTGCAAATTGTTTCAGTATTATTCTTCCAAGACAAATGCTGGTCAACAGTCACTCCAAGAGTTTTGCAATCATATACTTGTTTAATTGGTTTGTTTTCTATGTTAATGTTTGGTTTTCTATTTGAGATACTTTTTATCATTGGTTTAGATCCAATTAATATAAATTCTGTTATGGCCACATTTAAACTTAGTTTATTGGCAATTACCCGTTTCCTATGGTTTTCTAAATCAGAATTCATTGCATCTTATATCAGAATTCATTGCAGCTTAAATCAGAATGCATTGTAGCTTAAATCAGAATTCATTGTAGCTTAAACCAGAATTCATTGCAGCTTAAGGAGAATGGCCTTAAACCCACGAACACAGGTAGATCGACATCTTGGTGTTTGATGCTTGTGATGTTACTCTGAAAAATATGAGTGGCCACGGTAGGAATCGAACCTAATATACCTTGGGAATTAATACCAGGCCAATGCTCTGCCAACTAGATACGCGGTCAGGTCGTTTAGAATATGTGATATATCAGTTCCGAAATATCACATACTCGAACCAACCTGACTACGTAGCTCAGTTGGCAGAGCAATATTGGGCTGGTATTCCAAAGGTCGTAGGTTCGAATCCCACCGTGGCCAGGCATATTTTTCAAGTCTGCTCGGTGTGGATATACACTCAGAGTAACATCACACGAGTATCTTATTCAACTGAGTACATTACACCAACACAGAAAAAAAATCTTGGTGTTTGTTGTTTTTGAGTTTGGGATTGGGCTTAACCTGCGATCTGGCCTATAAATAGGCCTGATACAAACTTTAACAAAAGTCCATATACCGTATAACCGTATTTCGGTTGTAAATCTGATTGTCTATGAGACAAAACATTTTTTAAATTAATCTGTATTTTGATTTGTTGGTGCTAATTAGATAATACTATTGCTGTTGATATATTTTATAGTGATCACAACTATAATTAGATTGTTGTTGTCGTTGTGTGAAATTTAAACTTCTTCTGCGACATTTAGGTTGAATACTAATTACTAAATATAAACTTTGCTGTGGGTGGAAAGCGATGGGACGTCGCTGTAGGGGTGTGTTTGTGTGTGTGTGTGTGGGGGGGGGGGGTTAACACCCCCCAATAATTCAAACGTTGGTAAGTTGGTCAAAATGAAGCTGATATTTGCCCAAAGTTGGTCAAAATGGAACTGATATTTGCTTAAAATTGAAGGTAAAACTCGGAAAAATTTGGTCAAAGTTTGCAATAATAGATGATCGAAGTTGCTGAAAGTTATGCAATGGTTCGCAATTTTAACAATTTTAAAGCTTTTGTTATGTTTGCGGTGAAAAAATTGGAAGCCTTGCTAATCTTGGCGGAAAATGTTGACTATGCTTATGTTAGTCTGGACAATTTTTTTGACCTCTCCCCCCCTCTCCCCCCGTCGACAACATTTTCGGGAAAAATTTGTAGGACTTGTCAAAATCCTAGAAAATGTTGGTCAAAACATGACGACACCCCCCAATGTTGATGGCTTCGCGACGTCCCTGGTTGGAAGTTTTAACTTACGTCATGTATGGTAATAGTAATGGTAATGGTAATGGTTTATTAATTTAAATAATTCATTGCAGAACATTTACATCTGAATTACGAGTTACTTACATGATTAAAAAATAAAATATATTATAAAACCTATATTATATATTTTATGTAAATGTAATTATTAAAAAGATCTATATGTATATGTATAATTATATATATATATATATATATATATATATATATATATATATATATATATATATATAT